TCTTTCTTTCTTTCTTTCTTTCTTTCTTTCTTTCTTTCTTTCTTTCTTTCTTTCTTTCTTTCTTTCCTTTTTTGAGACTGGGTTTCTCTCTGTCGCCCTGGATGTCCTGGAACCCACTCTGTAGACCAGGCTGACCTTGAACTCAGAGATACACTTGCCTCTGCCTTCCTAGAGCTGAGTTTAAAGACATGCACCAGTATTGGGTGAAGAAGTTCTCACAACACCATAGTAATACCAAAGAGTTCCACACACCACCACTGCCCAGCTGGTAAGTTTCTTAAGATTGACAAGAACAACAATAATTCTACATTAGCTTTGTAACTTATTTTAATTCCCTAAGTGATGACTACAATGGCTGATTTTTAGTGCAAAACTCCTCATTGGGAGGGAGGGTTCTTGAAGTTCATATCTTGTGAAATGAAAGGTTTGCAGACTACAGTGGTAGTCTGCAAGTATACTTGTCAGACAAACTGACCTAGAGAGCTCAGAAATGAAGGAAAATGTCTCAATTCATTTGTCAAATTAATCTGTCAAATAAATGTAAAACATTGCAATAAGCCAGGGAAAGCAATTAAATAAGTTAAAACTGCAAAATTTGGATGTGAATGGTAGAAGCATTCTATTTGTATGACAGGCTACATGGTATTGATGCACTGTGATTTCTCAAGCCAAATCAGCTTTCATTGTTAACACGTTGAAGATCAGAACTGATTTAAGTCATGTGACTCAGATGCAGACTAGTTTGGGGAAGAGACAAAGTGTGCATGCCTAAAGATTTAGCTGGCAGTCCTCTTGTTGGAAAACTATGGATTTTATTTGCATTTCTTGGGTTCGTTATTTTGGGCCAGAATAGGGAACTGTTGGATGTTATCAGGAAGTGACATAACACAGTTGTCAACCCAGAAGTAACAAAGTTATTATTTGGTCTTACTGTTATCAAGTGATAAGTCTATGCTATCATATTCTACTTACTTTGTCTTACCCTATCTTACAAGTTATTAACATGCTTACCATGTATATACTTTTACCTACAAATATTGCCTACATTTATGTAGTATAATATGTGCATGTGTATAAATTATGTAGAATATTATATATGACATAATATTATATCATTTATATGGTACAATATATAAATTTATGTGTTCTAAAATGTCTAATGACTACATAAAGCTAATTAACATATCCATCACCTATTTGCCATTTTTATGCTAAGACAGTTGAAATTGACTCTTGTTTAGGAATATGGAATATGTTACTAACAGGCTCTGCTGTCCGGCAGGTCTTCAAACCCAGTCTTTCTGTTTATCTGAAACTTTAGGCATCTTCTGAATGTTAATTTTCTTACTCGTTTTCTGTTTATTTGGAGACAGTGTCTTGTTTTGCAGCCCTAGCTGGCCTGGAACTCAGTAGTAGCCTAGCCTAGCCTGGAACTCCTGGTGATCCTGCTGAGTGCTTGGATTACAGGCCCATGTTACCATTTCCAGCTTTCTCCATTTTTTAAAATTTCCTCACTCTGATCTAATTCTTCCTTCCCTATGCCTCATAAGCTACTGGAATGTGAAGGCCGGCTTGTTGGGGTTTCTGTCCCACCTGCTACCCCATAGCCAGCAAGTCCCAAAGAAAATCACACACAGGACTCCATAAGATTATAAAACTGATTGGTCCATTAGCTCAGGCTTCTTGTTAACTCTTGTAGTTTATATTAATCCATTATTCTGATCTGTTAGCCATATGACTTGGTACCTTTTTCAGCTGTCAGCTCACATGTTGCTTCTTCGGTGATCTGGGCAGGAATAGCAGAGGGAGCTTCCTGCTTCCCAGAATTCTCCTGTTCTCATTGCATCACCTCTACTTCCTGTCTGGTTTTCCCACCTATATTTCTTGCCTGGCCAATCAGCATTTATTTAAAATATGATTGATAGATTGCAGACAATTCTCCTGCACCAAGCTACTAGCTCAGAATTTGTGGGCGGCACTTGCTTTCTTATTTCCTACATCAGAATCAAATATGGAAACTCCCATTGTACATTACTTCTAGCAGGATGGAGTTGACAGAGAGCAGGAGAAAGTGCATACGTGGAAGCAAGGCAAAGTAAAGTGGCAAAGAGCAATGCCATCATCTTCAGAGGCCTGCTCAAAATCCCAAGATTTGAGAAGAGCCAGGGTTGTTATGTCTGGAGTCAGAGATTACATGTCAGATATCAGTTCTAAACAATGGATATTTAGAAACTTCTTTGGCTGAGTTAATAGCAAAATCTACCAATCCAGGATGTATATTTGCCCTTGAAGATTACAAAGCATTCTATCACAGAACGCCCTGTTCCCTGCCATCTTGGTAGTTTTATTTAGTTGCCACTTTCTACTGATATTGAAATAGTATCTCTACACTATGGTGGATACTGCTAAATCTAACAGTGGGATCTGTGTTATGCTAAGATACTGTAAAAAATAAATGTGAACTGTTATTGCAGGAAATACAAGTGACAGCCACACTCAAACTGAAAGACCCCCGATATGGGGAGACTCTCACTCAAGCCTCGGGATGACGCGACCCCTCAATAACTCACAAGAGACCGTCCTTGCTGCAATCACATGAGGTTTAATGACAAGACATCAAGACGGGTACCAGTGCACTGGGGCGAAGACTCACGCAGGGGAAGAGTTCGACACCCCCCCCCACCCCACCCCAGCCCGAGTAGCTGGGAGAAGGGATTTTTGGGAAGAAACCACAGCCCAGTAATCCGAAGGGCAGGGGCAACTCCCTGCCTCTCAAGATCACTCTCAAGGTCATAATCAGCTAGTTCCTGAAACACATTATTCCAAAAATACTAATGATAATTACTAGGGGGAAACTCCCTGTTTCTCAAGATTATTCCAAGATTACAATCTAACTTTATCTTCAGCTAGTTCCTGAAACCCTGAACTGGCTAATCCTAGATTTCTGATTTTTCTCTTCCTGCTAGGTTTTTGGCTCTATTTTTTCCTGCTAGGGGGATCTGGATATATCCAGGTCTTTCAAAACTTACTAGAAAACACCTGGGAGACCACTATCTTGAGAGATCTGTCAACCTCATCTGCAGCAGAAGGCTAATGTTCAATTCAGTAATGGAGGCTTCTTAATACTAACTTCCTAGGACTATATAAATAAAACACACATAAACCTTGCTCTGAAGTGTGCATGTCTGCAAAGGTCTGCTGAATGTCGCCCAGACACAAGCCCCGGGTCCTGTGCTGACTGTGCTGGCTGCAAACAAGTTACTCTAAACTTGACAATAAAAATTTAATGTTTCAAATGACTATTATTTAAGTTTTAAAATGGTATCAATACTCAAAAGAATGCCAAGGAATAATCAGTGCGAGCTTGTGAATTGTGGATTATTGTAATTCTATCTAAAAAAACATTTAATTAATAAATTCCACATATATGTATATATGTGTTTTTGTCAAACTTCTAGGTATTTTAAAGATAGCTAAGTTCAAAATATCCAATTAGCCTAATGTCCTCTTTCCCATATACCTATGAGAACATATCCAATTATCTTGGAAAAGGCAATTAAAATTACAATTAATAATCTTAATACTAAGACGTGTTCTAATTCATTTGATAATTACATTTCCCACAGAGATACTGTCAACATCAACTGTGAAGCTGTAGCCCCACCCTGTTTACAACTCCAAGAGACAATCTGTTTCCTCCTCTACAGTACCGCAATGCCAGGCTGCAGCTTTCCTTCACAGGAAATGTGTGGCAGGAAACATATCTGTTTTAGGCTTTATAACTTTCATTCTGATGTTTAGCATTAAAAATTATACTTATGTATCACAAATGACAGAATAATTTAAATAGTTAAAAAAGATAACTAGCATCCATGCCTTTTATTTTCAGTTAAAAAGTAGAAATTTTTTGTTCATAGGTGCTAAACAATTCCTTGTTTAAGAAGCAGCGTTAAGTATTCTGTCTACATGCTCTGGGTTTCTAAAATTTTTCATAAATCAAAATCTGTCATAAAAATAGAGATCAAAGGATAATATTTCAAGGTTGACTCATGATTTTTAAATTTTGTTATTTCTCTTAAGTATACTGATTTTAATACCAAAGAAAAGAATAAATGTAATATTTTGATTTCAAAACCATACTGCAAGAAAATGTACTATTCAAACAAGGCTGAAGTTTACATTATTTATTGCTATTTTTCTCAAAAATATGCATTAGAATAAATAGTTTTCTAAACACGAAAGTAAATACAGTACACGGTTCTGGCATATTTATTTCACTGAAAAGGTGTTCTGAATCTTAGACAACATAAATACTAAGTAGTGTGT